GCAACTCCACCATCACTTGTACTGCCTGGGCATTCGGCAGCAGCAATAGTCGTCATACGAATCCCGGGTCGGATAGCCTTCTATAGTTCTATATACCTATACCGGAAGCATAAGAGTAGAGGTAGCGAAGTCGTTCGATTGGTTTTGCAATGGCATCCTCGTAGCAGGAGCCGGGTTTATTGCTGACGGGTAACATGACTGCTAAACGCAACATGAAGCGAACTTGCAGGCACTCGAGGCGAGTTGCACTACAGCGCGGGGACCTTAGTGACAAATTCTGTGTTGAGGGCGTTCCGATAGAGCTTTCGGTGTTGCATGCTTGTGAGGCTTTGACTTGTTGTACCAGTTGTCGATGTACTTCATCTGACTTGGTATGGATTCGACTGCCCGAACTTGCAAATCAGAGCTACCAGCAACATGCAGCCAGTTCCGTGTCGGCAGACTCCGTAGTTTACGATCCCTCACCAGGTAAACTGAAACGCATGGAGGATTCAGGACTTGCCGAGGCACAACAGTCAATGGCTAACTTGCCTTCCCGAAACCGAATGGGACTGTGTGACTTGCCAGGGTGGAGGTTTTCCACGCCCTTCAAAGTTCTAACAAATGTGCAAGATGTCACATCTTTCGCATGGAACGCACGCTGTTTAAGTTTTGTATTTTCGTTTGCATGATGGGCTTCCGTATGTTCGCCTGGCGAGGTTGGCGGACCTTCGCTGAAGTGGGGCATGTTGAGGCAGGGCAAGATGGCTTCTAAAGCGCCTGGGGCTTTCCCCATTCCTCCTCGAGCCTATAGACTTTAACTAAGTCCTGAACAGCCCCAGAGGGTCCATCTACACTACCATTATGGAATTCGGTACCAAAAAGACCATGCCCATTATGGTTTTGGATACGTAGTACCATAATGGTAGTGTGTATGGACCCTCTGGGAACCCTTCCAACCCTTCGAGAGTCAAAGTGTAGGCTGCCATGCGAGGCATTTCAGGAATCAACTTCGGAAGTGAGCCGAGACTTCAATCCTAGGATCTCAGGAAACTACATGGTATAGGGGCCTTGTTCCTTTCTACAATTATGGTATAGTATAATTACCCCAAAACCCAGTTCAAATTCTATATTAAGGCCCCCATATTAGGAACTACTATGGAGCCCTTGGGTAGGCACCCTTATAGAACCCTTAAAGCAACCGTTTTATGTTATGGAACCTAAACCCTAAACCCCTAACAGCTAAACCCTAAACCTGTAACCCCTAAACCCTAAACCTCTTGCCCCCAACCCCTAAACCCTAATCCTCTAAACCTCTAACCCCTAAACCCCTAACCCCTAAACCTTAAACTTGTTATAACCCTTAAACCCTAAACCTCTAATCCCCAACCCCTGAACCCTAATCCTCTAAACCTCTAGCCCCTAAACCCCTAACCCCCCTAAACCTCTAACCCCCAACCCCTACACCCTAATCCTCTAAACCTTCAACCCCTAAACCCTTAAACCCCTAAACCCTGAACCCTTAAAGCAACCGTTTTACCTTATAGAACCCTAAACCCCTAACCCCTAAACCCATATAAACCCTAAAGCCACCCCTTTACAAGAGACCAGGCTGCCTCAGAGGACCGGCTGGCGGTGCGCGGCCGCCAGGAGCAGCAGCAAAGGATGCGGAACGGACTGCCAGGGTCTCAGGGTTTCGGGGGGTTGGGTTTTAGGAGTTTAGGGTTTAGGCGTTTAGAGTTTAGGGTATTTAGGAGTTTAGGGTTTAGGGGTTTAGGGGTTTGGGGGTTTATAGGGGTTTAGGAGGGTTTAGGGGTTTAGGGGTTTAGGGCTTAGGAGTTTAGGATTTAGGGTTTAGGGGTTTGGGGGTTTAGGGTTTCGTAGTTTAGGGAATTAGGGTTTAGGGGTTTAGGAGTTTAGGGTTTATAGTTGTTTAGGGGTTTGGGGTTTAGGCGTTTAGGGTACCGAACCCCAACCGAAACCATCTCAGGCGGGAGCCCGTCAAGTCCTGAACACTGAATTCCTCAAGCATCCCTTGAACCCAAGGCGAATCCTGTCAGTGATCGTGAAGCACCGGGTGCAGATGGCTCTGGCTCAGGCCACACTATGTTGCCCGGACCAATTTCGGGGCGCGGTTCCAGGTTTGGAGTTTGTAGCGTTCACAGTTTTGCATTTTTGGTACAGAATTGCACGGCAAAGCTGTGAAGGCTACTTAGTGCAATCCAACGCTTATCGCTTAAACGGACGCGGAGTTTCCTTTGTACGTCTCGCATGGACGGTTCCATTGGCTTTCTGTGCCACATCGGTATAGCAGAAGCGTCTCATGTTGCTATTGTTGTGGCTGTGGTTGTGGCCTGCAGTAGGGCCCGCTCAAGCACCTGCTGCCGGCGACTTATACATGCGCAGAATGCCCCGCTGGAGCAGGCAATGTAAATCTCCCGTGCACAAATCACGAACCCGCGACTCTGCGCGATGCTTCCTCTATGCCCGGAATCTGTGGGAAGCTACCTAGATTCTCCATAGTAGTTCCTTTTTGGGGTTCATATGTAGAATCCTAAGAGGTAATCCCCAAGAGGAACTACTATGGAGCCTATGGGTATACTGCTGCCAGGCATTCCACGGCCAGTGGCGTGCTAGCCGTTGGCAGGCAATGGCACGGCCCTCGGTTGATGTTCAAGTGCTTGGTCTCCTCTTTTTTGGACGAGAGGGGGCAACAAGAGAGAGACGAAAGCAACCAATATAGGGGTTATAGGGGCCTAAATGATTACCAATACATTTTGGGGGCTCATTATTATGAATATAGTATAAGGCCCCCAAACCCTTTTTTAGTTATTAACGCCCCTGTGTTGGCCACCCAGTCGGTAATTGGCCAAGAAAACATGCTAAGTTGGTATGATGCACATGGCTGTCAGGCACAAAGCCCCATCAAGACATACTCTATCGCTTCCAGCTATCACTGATCTCTCGCTCATCACCCATTAAAGACCTTAGTGTACTTACAGCCTCCATTGTAGTTCCTGTTTTTGGCTTTACCAAACACATATCTAGGATCCTGTAAGGTAGCCCCCAGAAAGGAAGCAAATCAAGGCCCCGAAATGAAATCCCTTGAACATGCAGCCCGGCTTTGGTAGACGGAGCCTCCTCTCGCAGCCTTGCCTTCATGTTTCCATCTTGCATTGACCTGCCCAGAGACTCCAACATACCTTATTTATGGAACATACCTGAAAACCATATTAGGGATCTTACTACAATTTCAGGTATATTCCTTAATTAAGGGATCTTACTATAATTTCAGGTATATCCCTTAATTATATATAAGGGATATGGAAGTCTCTGGGTGATTCTGAGGTGTCACGAGAGCTTGGAGCCGGTCCTTACCTCTTAGCAAATTTGGGGTGCAGGGGATTAGAGTTTACCTGTCAGGTAGAACGAAGGACCCTAATGCGGCCCTCAAAGAGGAGGGTTCATGAATCAGGGCTCTGTGTCGTAGTCTCCATTGTAGTTCCTTTTGTTGGTTAGCCAGTTTTAGGGTTAGGATCCTATAATAGAGATTTTGGTTAACCAGAAAAAAGAACTACAATGGAGACTATAGGTAGGGTTGGAGCTATGGGTTTAGTGCGAGGGCCCGAATCGTTGGGTACTTGGTTGTATTCGCCATGTGGGATACTAGCCAGGAGAGTATATTATGATTATGACTCAGTACTTGGCAGCTCATGGGCAGAGTTGTCGCATTAGCCGCCCGCTTCCGTTCAGGGTTCTAGGTTCAGAGTTCAGGCTAAATCGTATCCAAAGGCCCCAAACGCTAAAGTCTAACCCCGACAGTCTAAAGTCTTAGCCTGGCCAAACGGGGTTTGGGTGTTTGAGTTGCGGGTTCCCCAAGGGTCCAAAGGACCCAATAATCAGGTACTCGGTTTTAGGATAGAAGTTATGTAGGTTAGGATTTTGGAGAGTATATGATTATTGGGTACTTGGACCCTCGGGGGTTTAGCATACCCCAACCCTCTGCACGCTAAATTCCAGCCCCGCTGAAATGACAGGTCCGCCAGCTGGATGCCTCGGTTCTGCGAGACCAGCGGCGCATGCGAGCTGACCGGGTCCTAGATGCGCCATGTAATTAATAACTCTAGCTGCCTAGAACCGATTACTGTAAATCCGATTCTAATAATCAGCGTGCTTCAATGAGGGATCCTTGTCAGGGCATGGGTTCAGTAATCTGGGTTCTTGTTAAGGAACTTAATTTAAGTTACCATAATAGGGATCTATCGTAAATAATGGGGTTTCCTTATTATGGTAACTTAAATTAAGTTCCTTAACAAGAACCCAGTAATCGGGGTTCGTCTCCATGGTCGGGGTGGGGCACTTTGGGCATTTGAGCTTTCCCGTTGCCCTAAGAATGAAGATCCGACGGTTTCGGGTTTACCCTAAGGGTCCTAACACTTTAGGGAACCTCGAAACGTAGGATTTCTGAGATCCCAAACAGAACCAAGGGCTCTCGCTGAAAGATTCCGGACCCTCCTAAGGAGGGTTTAGGGTTTACTAAACCCTAAGGAACTCTAAACCCTATACCGCAAGGGGATACCTGGACCCTTAGGGTAGGGTCTTGATCCTGGAAAACTAATGGTGGGGATCGGGGTCCCATCTTCAAAACCCACAGACCCGGCGTCTGGGTCTTGCATGTTTGTTGTTCTTTTCATTAATCTTCATTGTTAGTCCTAATATTATCACGATAATTTTGAGTACTCGT